ATTTACGTGTTATTTCCAATAGAGGCAAAGTTCGAATAAAAAATATAGCCACGCTCCTAGGCGGTACTTAATAACATGCAAGACATCTGGCCAAATAGCTTCAATCTGAATTAGAAAAAAATAACGACAAAAAATGTATCAATTGTTAAACTGAAGTTAATGAAATTTGTGGAGTGGAGGGCTGAACTAATTTGATCAACTTCCAATATGCAAACACAATTGCTTTAGATTGAACTAAGTAAAATATTTCCTTCAGGATCGTAATTTTCAATAATACTAGATTGACATTTCTTGCTAATTTTAAAAAATGTTTGAACATATTTTTTTAACCTAGACGTAAAAAAATTATTTCGACGAAAAGGCGTCTCAGAATTCCTAAACCTTCCAGCAAAGGAGATTAATTCATGCATACAAAAGAACCTTTCGATTTCTAAAGAAACTGTAAAACAATTTTCACAGAAAGGCAAATATTTTAAAGAATAATGCAAATCCTGAGCCACAAAATTTATAGCCACGCTTCTAGGCGGAGCTAGGGATCAAACAAGCTATGCGGGTTGACTAATATCGGTTTAAACCAGCAAACATGTATTAAAATCAGCAGAAGATGCAAATAATTGCAGGTGTAAGTTAAGTTTTGGTTAAAAATTAGAGTTGATCTGTTTTCGGCTGAGATAATCAACGCGTACATCAACCTTTAAGCAAAGTAATAAAGCCAAAAAATGCATGAAGAACATCCAGCATTAATTTCATTTTCTTTTTCGAACTACAAACAAAATCAAAATTGAAAAGTGCAAAGTGCAAACAACATATATTTTATCAATGAGGCAGTATAAACGCTGTCAAATCACGCCTCTGGGCGGAGCTAAAAAAAATATGTATTTTATTTCATTTTTGTAATCAGTTGAAATTTTGGTCAACTATTCATTTTTGCATTCAAATGAAGAAAATACAGATATCGGAATTTTGAATTTTTGAACGAAATTATCAATTTAAAGCTTTATTCACTTGATCACTTTTCGATGATTTAGACTGTTTTCCATTTGCTAAGAGCTTTAGAGTAAAGTTTGCCTAGTCTTCTCAGTGGTATTTTTTCAAATTATAGAAGAAATATCTACCTAATAACCGCTTTCCAGTTCCACAAAGTATATTTTAATTCAGATCAGTCAGATTTTTATATAGGCACTATAATCAGCCATGTATGTAAAAAAGGATGTTATAAAAAGTACATGAATTCATAAATCTTCCAGCAAAGCGAAACAAAGAAGCTTCACCATAATCAAGGGCACTTATACTTTTTTAAATTTGGAGGAAATTTTAAAACACCTCAGACTAAGCATTTTAAGTTCATTTCCTACAAAGACTAGTGAGAAACCAACATTTACATTCCCAGACATAAATGCATATCTTTTACCGCTATCAATCTTTCAGACCTTTCGATAAGAAGTTCGTTGTCGATTATTTTCTGTTGTCGAATATGGTCTGTGACCGAAAATATTACGCTGATGATGCGCTTTTAAACTGTAAAAGCATTGACAACTAATCTCCTTCTTGACTTCGCACTATCAACCTTCAAACAATAATTAGTTTAGTTCATCATTTTTTCTTTCCTCAAATTAGAATTGTAAGAACCGGTAAATCTGTCCTTAATTAATTTCTGATATCGACTATTTCACCTTGATATGTATATGATTCCCGGAACACTGATAAAAGCGGCGATATCAGTTGATTACACTTTTGTTTCGCAGGTAGATCCCTTTATAACAATGTAGCTGGAAATTATTGAACGTGTCTAAACTAAGAACCTTCAAAGCGTGAAAACATGTAAAATAAAACCATGCATGCAATCCGAGCTTGGCTACTTAAAAAACTAAAACTATGTATTTATTTAAAACCTCTCTCAATCGGTTAGTTAAATGACTGTAGTAGATCTTCTTGAGTAAGTACGTAAAGCGTTAAAAGGTCATTTTCAAAAGGCATTTTATTTTTTTTAATTGAACACAAGCAAATTCTCGCACTATTCTATTGTGTCCGTTTGCCCAAAAACAATTCAAAATGTTACAGCACATCACATTGGAAATGAATTTTTAAGAGATTTTTGTCGAATTTCACTTGCTGTAATTTGTAGCTTTATTACCGCTGTTAGCTCAAAAATTATTTTCTCAAACCTGGAAAGAGGTAGGTAATTTTTTTGCATTGTTGAATATACAAGAGAAATTATATTACAGAGAAATTGCGTTAGAAAGTAAATTTCAAGGAATTTTTGGCGATTTTTTCACTTGAACACTTACAATTTGCCGATGTTTGCTCACACCTGGTTAGAGCTGGATTCTTAATTTCTTTTTAGACTACTAAATAGAGAAAACCTGGCTTACAGGCGAGTTGCATCGGAAAGGCTTTTTCACGAAACTTTTTACGATTTTTTTAAAATTCGAACGCTTACAATTTGTAAAACGAATGAAGAATCGACCAGATTTGCGAGAGAAAATTCTGTTTCCAGATATTTATTTTGTCCAAGAACTTACCAATCGAGTGAAAAGTAAATCCTAAATAATTTCAAAGCAGATGCAAGTTGAACTTAC